GGAGTCCTAGTTAAAAATAGCATTTTAAAAAATAGCTTGAGGCACTTGTTACATATTTATGTGTGTATTCAGTTTTCTTCCCATGCAGCACAGTGTAGCCTAGTGTTTTGAGAAATGTATGAGCATGAACACAGGCCTTGACAAATAAAAGGGGAGGACACCCACTGCAAGAGATTAGGGAGTGACACAGCTGTGTAACAGAGACGGATAACTCAAGGTGCTCAAATAATTTGATTTTGCCAGACTCCTACTGCACCTGTCATTGACTCCAAGTCTTAACGGTGATGAATGGTACTTAGTAGTCTTCTCCACGAGCAAGATGCTGTAAGAACTTCATTGTCTGCTGTCAACAGCTTCATGGTGTCACATCTGAAAACAATCAGAAGTGTTATTTGTTGTGGTGCTTTTAGCTTTTTCTGTTTAAAAGTACTGCAGTTTAAAAGAACTTCAGAACTAATCTGGTCCAACAATAATGAACCAACTGTGTACCACATCAGTGATTATGGCATTTGTTTAAATTGTGAAAACATAACACAGTGCCTTCCAGAATTATTGGCACCTTGTATATAAATAAGTAAAAACAAATATATAAAAAGAATAAGGGACACATCGCTTTATTGAAACATTTTGTTTTTATGTGCACCCTTTTAATTAGCATATTGTGACGCTTGCCCTGGAGAGAATAGCATCACTGAGTCTCTTCCTCTAATGTCTAACAAGGATGGAGAGGCTCCTCCATGCTGAATATTTTAAGCTCCTTTTTTTTTTTAGGTTCGTGCACATGGAATTCCCTCTTCAGACCAAAGGTTTTTACTAAGATTCAAATTCGGGGACTGAGATTGATTCTAAGAAACATTGGTTCTGTGGTTCTTTAACTTTATTGTTGAAACTTTATGGTTGAAACTTTTTATCTATGACCAAGTATGAACTTCCTGGTATAGGCTGAAATGTCCATATATTTCAGAATTCATGATGCCATCAATCTTCCACACAGAGCTAGCACTGGACTTCTACTATTACCACTCAAACCAAATTGATGACAAAATGCAGTGTGGCCAAAGTTTTTTTTTTTTTTTTTTTTTTTTTTTTTTTAAGACCTGACCTGAAATTTTTCAACATCCCATTCAAGAATTAATCTCTTCTTTGCTGTAATAATGACCTCCACTCTTCTGGGAAGGCTTTCCACTAGAATTTGAAACATGGCTATGGGGATATTTGCTCATTTAGTTACAAGAGTATTGGTGAGGTCAGTTGGCAGTCCAGTTCATACCACAGGTGTTCAGTAGGGTTGAGGTCAGGGCTCTGTGCAGGCAATTAAAGTTCTTCCACTCCAACCTTGGCAAATCATATCTTCAGGGAGTTCGCTGTGTGCAAGGGGTATTGTCAGGCTGGAACAGGTTTGGGCCTCTTAGTTCCAGTGAGGGGAAACTGTAATGCTACAGTATTCAAAGACATTCTATACAATTGTGTGCTTCCAACTTTGTGGCAACAGTTCGGGGAAGGCCCATATGGGTGTGGTGGACAGATGTCCACCAACATTTGGGCATATAGTGTATGTACGTAGATGTACAGATGCGCTAAAGTTGCTGAGGCCCTCGGGATTTGGTGGATTTGTTCCATAAAGCTGCAGGTGTACTTTAGGTCCTGGTCCTTTCTGCACTTGAAGGCCTTCCCCAAGCTTCTAACTGTTGTCAGCATGATAACGAAAATAGTCTTTGTCTGAAATCTGAATATGTGTAAACCACTGTTCTGTTCTGGAAATAAATTAATTTAATAGACACTGACTTCACTGAGAATCAGCTTTTTTTGATTCTAAGTGGTATATTCCAAACCACTGTGAGATGCGAATATTGACCAACACTCGTACTCGTACTCGTACTTGCATCTGAATAGGGGAGCAGCCAAATGCTTGGATCTTTAAGAGGGTGTAAATAGTATTATGGGTACTGTGTTTCATGAAATTGTAATGTGTATATGCTTTTGAAAACTGTGTTTGTGGTCACTGTCCAATAGTGGACAGTTTTAATGACTAGCACTTGATAATAAGAGAATAAAATCCTGTGTGGTGTTTTCTATTACTGAAGTGAAGAATAATGGAACCTTGTTGGAAAAAATGTAAACTGATAGAAACGGTAGTTTTTGATAATAAGTAAAACACTTTTTGACACAACTGTATGAAGATTTCCTGAAAATGATGCCAATAATGGTGGGATTATTTAAGTTGCTTTCACATATGCAGCATTCAGTCCATTTCGGTTGAACTCTGGTGCATTTTCTTCTTTGTTGCCATTTTTTTCGGCAGGTGTGAACAGTTGGATTTGGGTATGGGAACAGAGCAGTCAGTTCAAGATCATTTGACCGTAGTGGTCTCGGTCCGGTTCTAAGTGAACTCTAGCATGCTTTGCAGTGAGAAAGTAATTTTACTCTGGCTGCAGTTGGATCAATTCACACATGACATATTATGGGATACAGGCAGCATTTTAATAAAGGTGAGCTGCTTTTTATTTTTATTTTTATTTTACCCTTTTCCCCTCATCATATTTCTGATAAATGAAAGAGTCAAGAAATGAAAGAGAGAGAGAGTTTTACGAGTGTGTTTTTACATACCCCACAGCCAACATTTTTGTTTCTAGGTTTGTTTAATTATGAGCATAATGAAACAAAATATGAGTATGAAACTAAATAGCTAATGAACTAAAAGTATCAATCCGATTTGGACTCTGCGAATGGACTAATAAGCATGAAAGCATCTTTAGTGGCCATGAGGTTTATCAAATGCCTATCATTAAAATAAACAATTATGATATAGCTTAAATAAAACACTGAAAGCCTGAGTTAACTATTTAGTCCACAATTTTGACTGGAAAAATTCCATATTTGGTGAGGTAAAGCATTTCAATACACAAGAAGAGACAACACATTATCCTTGTGATCATCTTTATAATCTGCTACAATTGTCAATCAGCATAAGAAGAAATACAAGCCACTCTCCATAACAGACTTTCTACATCTTTTGCCCAGTCTACGTATGAATCTCAACCACTTGACATATTGCTTTTCAGCTGCTGTCTGAGCTTAGGAATTTGGGTGGCACCGTGTCCCTGAGACAAGGGAAATTAGTCACCTCTTATCTTCCTTGAGCAGCCGTATTCTCCCTGTAATCTTATCTCTGCGGCTATGTGTTTTTAAAGATGGAGCCTGTGGTGCAAGTCTCTCCATTGTGAGGATATGCTCATATTTCTATGTGGGGGCAAATAGAACTTCTCAGGAATAATGGAATCAAATGCAAATCACTTGTTCTAGATGGGGAAATACCTCACTGGAATACACAAAATATATATTTATTATTACAAAGCAATCCCAAATAACCTTTGAGCAACATTGGAATCCAATGGCTTAATATAAGAGGCAAACATTTTGGTTATGATTATTTCACTAATGTTCTTATGTAAGGATTAAGAGAACAAACAATTTCAAATGTACAGAGCACATAAGGAGCACTGCATTCTTTAATGTGTTTTTAATGTTTAAATAAACGAACTGCAGTGAACTGGCAGAATCCAGAACAGCAAAGAAAACTTGAGCTTGACGCTAATATCTGATGCACTACATGTAAATGAACTACTCCTAGCAGCATGTTTAAGTAAACAGAAAAGAACATTATGATCATAAACCTAATCTTCCTTGCACCATTGCAGCCATATGCTGCCATGTATTCTATTTCTGTACTCTATTTCCGTAAGCTCCAGCACACCTACAACCAATTCTGTCTGCCAGATCATTCACTGCAGTAGGTCTTTAGTCATCAGTCCCAAATTAGTACCTTAATTAAAATGAAAGACCTTTCCCAATTAAGCATTTGCCACCCTCAGCCTGCAATACAGATTTAGCATACTGATAGTGTAATGGGTAACAGTGGCATTTTGCTGTAGGTGTTGTCTATCCATAGCAGCATTGTGCTATTTGAACAAAAAAGAATACCCTCATGAGGTATCAAGACATGGTTACCTTTCTCTCTCAGCAAGTAAGCAGTAAGCAGTAGTCTCTATCTAATAAACTCACTATGCCTAGGGATATTCCTTCAGTGTTCTCCGGTTCCAAAACTCACCTGACTGAGATAAAAATAGAACCTCATTATCTGATCTTTTATGTCCTCAAAACTAAGCAATATTCACAAGTCATCTTTTTTTTTTTTTTTTTTTTTTTTTTGATCCAAAGTATAGATCCTCTGCCAGAATTGGCTCCCTCCCTATCAGGAACATCCATTCTTCTATTGTAACCCCGGCCACATGTCTGTGTTTGACTTGGACTTGCTGACAGCGGCGATACAATCCAGCTGGCTCAGCAACTAAAGATTAACCTGAGCCTGGGTCTTTAGACCCAAGTTAAAGTGTTATGAAACTTGCATACCTCATCAATAAGACACAGGATGCTTTATGTAAAATATACTGATGTTACTTATAAAATGGAGTTCCTAAGGAAAAGCTAGTCTGTTCTCACTTGGCAAAATAATTTTAAAGATTTATGAGTCAATTCCTGTTCTGTTATGCATGGTCCCTATTCTTTGTATCTGAATGATTCCTGTTTTACGATCCCTCAGAAGTGCTTCTCAGAGCTGCCCAAAACAAACTTCTGTAAGCTGAACAGTCATGACTTTTTCAAATAGTCGGAAGATTTTAGCTGTCCATCAAGTGAGGGGCAGTAAGGTAAACATTGTGGAGTAATAGATGATAGCCCAAGTTTTATTGCTGTCTGTTCAAATAAAATGGTGGCACTGACTTAACAGCGATCAGTAAATTGTTGTTGTTTTTTCGGCTGCTCCCAGTCACCCCAGCTGATCCTAAATCTCCATTATGGAACTGCAGTTTATGATCTGCATATTTGATTTGGCACAGGTTTTATGCTGGATGTCGTTCCTGACACAACCCTCCCATTTTATCCAGGCTTGGGACCGGCACTGAGTGTGCACTAGCTCATGCAACACCAGTGGCTGGGTTTGGCACCCAACGTGAGGCTCAAACTTACGACCCGGAGATTAAAAGTCTCATGCACTACCGACTGAGCTAGATTTAAACATAATCGACGAGCTGCTACAAAATTGCTGCAATAACAATTAAAGTCACAAGTTATTCTTTCTACCCAGTCTCACCTGCCAATTCCCATCTACCAGTCGGGGAGGGTGAAGGCCAATACATGTTTCCTCCCAGACACATGAAGTCATCCAACTGTATTTTTTCAAACTGCTGCTAATAAAGCGTCACACACATGGAGTAAAGCGCTGTCCTCCCTCTTCAGCATACATACATACAGATGCCCATTGGCTAGTCTTGCTGCGTTTGACAAGGGAGAGAGTATATTCCATCTGTCCCACACAGAGATCATGAACAATTTTTCTTCCTGTGGCTGTGCCATTGCTGGGATTCAAATTCCTGATCTCTCAATGATAGGGCGAACACTTTTGTCCTAATAACAAAGTCATTTTGAAAGAAAAAGTGTCTCCAGTCGACTGGGAAGAAGCTAGCATTGACCAACAATACATCAATAATTTTCTTACAGTAGTCTACACTGTTTTTTTCTGAACATAGTGTAGACTATATTTTAAGGGAAAAAACATTGGCCAATGGTAAATATTACATTAATCAAGCAATAAAACATGCTGGGGGCCTGATGTTTTAGGAAAATAGTCAACGATGGGGTGGTGTGTTTCATCCTGATGCAAAGACTTTCTGTTACTATCCCGAAACTGATTAGGTCCCGGAATTATTAATTCCTCTTATACTACAACAAGTTTGCCAACAGTTATAATTTGTAATTTATTAATGAGCAAGTTGAATGTAATGTTGTGGAACGTCCACGAGACAAATTATTTCCTGTTATCAATTACATTGTATGAGCTATAAACAGCCATTCTCGCAGCAGACTCTTATTTTTCTCTCTCTTGAAGTCAATATAAATTTTTTTTTTTAAATGCAGCTTGTTACCAAGAAACTGCAAAGTCCTGAAGACTATTTTGTTGCGGAAAAATTACTGATCATTACAAAGGACTGGGCACCCCTTCCATAAATGTCCTTACAGAAAGCTTCACTATATCAATGATATTTCCCAGGCGTGCATCCACACATTGTTACTGGGGCTACTTGAGGAGGTAGGCAGGTAGTTTGGATGCATAAATTTGGAGAGTGACTTCTCAAAATGCTGTGCTGAACCCCATCCAAACTGCACCCTGAAACAACTGGAAGCATGATTGCATAAATCAGGCTTAATTTGAAGAGGCAGCAACTTTGAAAGTAGCGTGTTTTCATTCACGAGCAGTCAACCTAACAAGAGGTAAAGCAGATTAGATTTTCATTATCAAACAAAGCAGACAGTTTAATAAGGTGTTTTTAACTGTGCTAGATGGTTGACTCAGCTTTGTGGAGCAGTACCCAAATGTTGCATAAATACTGCAGAGAAGAAGTAAAAAAGAAATCAGGCTCCATTTTCACACAGCAGACTTCTCACCCATCTTCCTACCATTCAAGATATAATGGCTTACTGCCTCATTAGCAGCAAGTGTAATTGCTGGTGTATAATATGCCATCTTGTGTGTAGATATTATGTGTCGGTTTACAATAGTAGCAAAGCACTTTCAGGTTGTTTTTTTTTTTTTTTTTTTTTAAAGCAAAATTTATTTGTCTTGGAATATACGATACAAGGTTTGCTTCACCATGCATTTTTATGCATTTCTCAAACTCTAAACTTTGACTTCCTAATACCATATAATTAGAGAAATAAAAACAGCTGGCTCTTTGATGAGCATCTGCCTCCAGTAAAAGTAAGCATCAGGAATGGAGATTAAAGCAAACAAACTGTCCGTGGCCTTTCTTTAGTACAAGCACTCCTGTGTGTATGTGTGTGTGTGCGTGCGTGCGTGCGACTGTGTGATGATTTTGGTATATGACCACCTAGCTGTGACAGTGGTTGTGCGCAAGTATGAGAAAACAGGACCATTCTGAATAAGCAATATGATTAAATATGTAATTGGGTTTTGTGTAGGTTCAACAAAGCAAAACAAAGTATAGCATAAAGTTATCAAAGTACTCTTAATCTGTGCACTTACCTAGTTAACTGTTTTGTCATAGGTTAACAATTTTCAGCCTTTTTTCAGCCACTTTTCACTTTTTGGGCAACCAAAACATGGCACTGGGCAAACACATTAGAGCTTTTATGTGCATTTTGGGCTAGCTAATGAACATGCAATATATGGCTAAAAGATTGTGGACACATGAC